AAAGCAGCTTTCGATAATATATCTATTTGGTTCGAGTATGATTCTTCCCACTAGGAAAAGATTTGCTCATACTTTTGTATTTGAGGAACAAAAATCTAGTCCCATTCAAGGGGCCTTACTTTTTATTAATGTGTGCTAAATTGTATAGGTCAATGCTGTGGTGAGCTTCATTCGATGTGAAAGTGCCTAATGAAGAGACTTTTAGATGGTTCTCATCAGAAGAATCCGACGGATTCATGCCTTTCTGCAGTCATTTATTTTATTATGAAGCTCAAGCTGAAGCAGCTGACGTGAACTTCTGCTTCGGTCCCGGTAAACACGTGGTCTATATGCATATAGATATATTTCAAATCTCGGTAAAATGTAACTTTTTATGCTGCATAATTTATTTTATTATACCATAATTTGGTTACTTCAGCTAGTGCAAAAACAATTTTATTGTAGTAACAATTACAGTAATAATAACATTAAAATATAAATAAAAAACAAATAAAAAAAATTATATTTTTGATCGATAGATAATGAATGATTATTGTTTATAAACTTTTTTTTATGTTTGAATATGTGCATATTGGCAAAAGAATTTGTCATATTTTTTAGTAATTATAACAATGCAACGTCACCTTGAGGCCCTCAAAGCTCAAGCAGATCATCTGTAGAGACTAACCAACAAATTCCTTCATCAGATCTTTTCACTAAACCGAAAAGTCACGACACTGTTGTCTCAAGATTATTTTCTAGTCCCAGTATGACTTCCTATGTAATTGCGAGTTTACAGTCCTCAGGAAATAAATAGAATAAAAGATTAACCAACTGATAATATTTGTGATAAAAGAAGTATTAGTTACCTGTTATTTCTTTTGTTTACAATAAATAATTTATAAACTAGTAAATATGGCTAATGAATAGCTTTGCTTATGAAGATTCTTGGACCTGAGGTTTACTCAATTATACACAAAGCTTGCCCGTATCAGGAACTTGCATGACCTTAGAACGAATGGTATCCGGCAGTAAATAAAAATATGTAAGTTGAATTCATGTGGGAGTAAATCCAGAGTTTTTGCAGAAGTACAGGAGTTTCGGGGTCAACAACTCGTGAAAAGAGGAACAAAGAAATGAAGAGAGAGGATGAGGAAATGGGTTAGACGAAAATGAGGGCTCATCCCGGCCACTTCAAAGGTCACCATTTTTCCCAGACCAACCATAGCCCATCTGTGGCAAGCTTTTGGACTTGCGGGTACGCTTGTTTCCGCGAAACTCCGTTTCCACCTCGAAAATCCGTCACTGAGACATGGGTGGTTTCCACGGAAACGGCCAGTTTGGTAGCCAAGTGAGTGACAAAATACTCCTTCGAGGCTCCTCGTTTCTGCCATCTTCTTCATCCACTTTTCTCTTTACCGAACAGAAACGTGCTCCGAACCCGCTTGAGGCCCACGTCACTCCGTCCTCAGAGGATCTTCTTCGGCCGGCACAACAATGCTCACGACTTCCGAGAAGACACACGTCCGCGACCAGTGGCGCAGGAAGCTTGACTTTCTCATTGCCTGTGTGGGATTTTCGGTGGGACTGGGCAACATCTGGCGCTTTCCCTATCTTTGCTACAAGAATGGTGGAGGTGGGTATGGGCATGGTATACATTTTCACGAACGACAGTATAGCATGTTAAAAGAGCCAATTTAGGCTGGTTCATGTATTGCACTTACAGAAATCGGGTCAGCGGGAACAACAGAAGCCACTTGATATCACTTTTAATTGCATACCAAAAAGTCTCTCTCATATCAGCACCAACCCAACGGGACTCAACCCTGGACACGAAGGATAAGAGGCAGAACCTTTATTCCATACGCGAAACGGCGCAAACCCTAGTGGTCTACGCAAAAAGTATGAATGTCGGGTCTATTTTCAACGGAATCTTTGCTATTAGAATAAAATACTACTGACTAATTAGGTTAGCACCATTTATCCACTATTAAAACTAGCCGAAGTGAACTATAAGAAAGTCTGCCCATATTGAGTTTTCAACTTTTTTCGCCTCCAAAGAAATCGAGTCCTTGTTGACGATAAAGTAAGACTCTTATCCAGGGCAAACACATAAGAAACACCAACGTTGGAATAAAATGTGAGAATTGCATCAAACCGATGTGAGTTGAGCTCAAGGACTGTCTTGCTCTAAGCGAAGGACCGCTTGGATCTATTCCAAGACAGGGATTATAGATTGTGACATGAATTTGCATTTCGAAGGAAAAGTCGGTCAGAAGGAATTAGTGATGTGGTCTCACCGAAAACCGAAGAAGTATTGCCACGATGAGACCACATCACGAATTCCTCCCAAACAACTTTTCCTTCGAAATGGAAAATCCTGTCACAATCTAGCACAGAGGAATTCTTCAGAGCTCACTTTTTCTTCATATCTTCAAAGGATTATAATCTTAGGGCCTACTTTAAACTTCAAATAAAGGCATTAGGAAAAGTGCACTTCATATATATGTTGTCCTAGTTCGAGTCTCGCTTGATGTGGAGACGGAGGCTAAGCGGGATGGAAATTGGGGCTTTTGC